GGGTGTGTGTGTGTCATCTGAAGCCCCTTACTTCTGCCACTATTTATCATAATGGAATAACATTTGTTCCACCTCAATCACTGAGATCTTCTGAGGTCACTGCTGGTTGTCCCCCATGACCCAGAGATTCAGTCAGCCTTTGCCAGGGACCAAGCCTTTAGCCCTGTGGAACTCTTTGACAATAGGAGTCTGGCAAGAACTATCCCTGCTTTTAAAAACCGTATTCTTTACACATAGCCTTGGAACATAGCCTTTTCTTCCCCCCGACAATTCTTTACTGATACAATGGAACTTTGGTTCTCGAACTGCTCCGCTCCAGAACGTTTCAGCTCCCGAACATCAAAAACCCAGAAGTAAGTGTTCTGGTTTTCGAATGTTCCTCAGAACCTCAATGTCTGACACAGCTTCCAATCTGCAAAAAAAGCCTAGGTGTCAGCCAGTCAGAAGCCGCGCCTCAGAATTCAAACATTTTGGAAGTCAAACGTCCTTCCGGAACGGATTACGTTCTACTTCTGAGGTTCCACTGTATATTATTATTTTGCTATTGTCCTTGTAGTATGGTGTTTTCCTATGTTACACCACCTTGTTGTGTTTTCTTTGGAAGTGTCATTTGTACATGTTTAAATAAGTAAACGAAACACACGTCTGGTTTTATTGCAAAACTTGTATATATCAAAGCTGACTTTCCTTGCAGCAAGTCACCAAGGCAAACTGATTATTCCCTTTACCTCTTCCTCAACCCCCATCCATTCAAGATTTTGCACTTCCATTGCCGCTTCTTTCAAAACAATTTATTTTAACTAGATGTCCATTTCTCTCAGCAGGAGTATCAAACATAGCAACACAGATAATCTGTGATGCATTTCAGGAAACTGTTTACAGAATATTTCCCGCAGCTTTTGTGCTTAGTATTAAACAGTTTTGGTAATGAAAAAGATCTAAAGGTATTGACAACAAAGGGACATTCAGATGGGTCCTGAAAAATACCAGGATACCAGGTCAACATTACATGCTGAGCTCCGAGGAAGCCATTTGGACTAGGTTTCAAAGAATCACAGTGATGCATGTTTGGAATAAATGTTCAAGGATGCAGACAATGAACCCTCATGGGCTGAAGGGCTGTAGCTCAGTGGTCTGGGATTTCTGCTGCCTTATGGTGGGTTCAGACATGAGTCTCCCTCAGCCGTACCTGTTATCCCTGAGATCAAATCCAAGGTTCTCTGCAGACAAGGCAGGTGCTCTTCTCCTGAGTACTGTCCTTTGTTCCGCTTACCTTATAGTGTGCATGACACTCCAACATATAGATTGTTAGGACCATCCTACTGGCATGTTCTCTCCCTCCTGGTCGATCGTTCAGGAGCTTCAAAAGCTTTCTCCAGCCCGAACATCTCAGCGACTGATACCAAGAAGCATCAGCACACTTATGGATCCTGCAGAGTATTCACAGTTTAAGTAACAGAACTCAGTAGCACAGCATTTTGGCTAATCTACATTTATTTATATATAATACACTCGGAGCATTCTGACTTAGCTCCTTCCTCTTTCTCATCAGACAGCAAAGAGAGAGAACAAAGGACAATAGTTCCACTTCACAGAACACAGTAACACAAAACATCCTGTCTCCATCACTACCCACACTGTGGAATGAAAGCATACACCGTCATGTGATAGACAACAATCTCATGACTGCAAACACCGAGCAAGAACCCTAACATAGGTATGGGTATATTCTCTTAAAATGAAGAGGTGAGAGGTGATGTGATAGCCATCTTCAAACAATTGATTCAAATTTGCAGGAAAGGGGATTCTGACTAAACATTAGGATGGGGAGAGGGAATTACCTAGGGAATGAACTAGGAAGAAAGGAGAGTCAAGAAAAGAGATTATGAATAAACATTAGAAAGAACTTTCTGGCTGTAAGAGCTGTTTGACAGTGGAACAGACTACCTGAGAAGGTGGTGGGCTCTCCTTCAATGGAGGTTTTTAAATAGAGTTTGGATGACCATATATCAGGGTTTCTTTATCAGTGATTCCTGTATTGCAGGGGGTTGGACTAGATGGCCCTTGGGGTCCCTTTCAACACTATGATTCTCTCTCTCTCTCTCTCTCTCTCTCTCTCTCTCTCTCCATATACTCTTTCATACTCTTGGTCCTTTTTTCTTTCCATTTTTCTGAGAACTTTATTAGGACATCCAAGAAGTGTGACTACGCTCGAATCTACTCATTAGCCCAGAGCTGTATATCAAGTCAAGTCATCTTGGAATTCACAAAGATCAAATCCCTCAAGCATTGCTGTCTCAGAAGAAGCAGATCTGCCCCCTCTCAGAATTCTGTTCTCAGATGTATTTCTGCAAAGAAACCACAAAATCTTAAATGCGTCACTGAATCCATTGCCTAAGGGAGACGGTTAGAAATTGGGGCTCAGCAGACATTGATTTCAACCTCTTAACCTTGATTGCTCAGAGGGCAGATAGCAGGTCTGATCACAGACTCAGAGAAGACAATGAACTGAGGGGACAGTGTGATTGTCTCATCATACGTGCCTCACCCTAGATTGTCAGCCGGGGAAGTGCTTTGAGCGAGAAGAAAGGGGTGAAATATGCTAAAAACAGCCTGGTAGAAATATTATGTAGGAAATAGCCACCAAATGAATGCAGCAGCCTTGTAGCAATAGATATGTCTACTAATCTGTCCTAGCAGAATGCCTTCATTATGGCGGGATGGGGTGGGGGGAGGTTAGAGAGAAGGCTTTTCTGTTTCTAATCAGGCTGAAAGTTGGAAGATTCAGGACAGACAAAAGAATGTACTTCTTCACAAAGTGAATTTCAGAGCTTTGGAGTTATCTCCCACCACATTGGATGGAGGCTGGTTTGGAGGAATGCATCAAAGAGGAGGATGCACTCTGGTGCAGGAGTGCATGGTAATATGTACATACCTTGAGGTTCTAACCCTGGAGGAAACTCATGGAGCATGACAGCTCTTGAACTGCTACACATATCCCTCAGTAAGCACTGGAACCCCATCCCTGTCTAAACATCATTCTCTACCTATTTTAAGGAGGGTTTTCAGTGCCCCCTGGATATCCTCCCCTCAAAGTGTGCTAGAAAATGTCAGTCTGAAGCTTCAACCTAGATTCAGTTTCTACCTGAAAACTCCAAATGGGAACCTTCTGCCATAGGCCATTCCTACATTACTCCCGGACATTTACATCCTTGTCTCTCCATCCCTGCTGATGTTGCTCCAGTGGTTCATTTTGCAAATTGTGAAGGGAAGCAGGAGTGCACAAGTGAAGAGCCAAGGACCAAACTGTGTCCCACTTTATACTCTGCAAGAGGGATTTTAACCCAATTGTTACTGATTAAATAACGTTTCACCCAGACTGACACTGCGTGCTTTGAGCTTCATCCCAATGCAATTTGAAACGACTGAGATATTACGCCTTGGAAATTGAAGTTTGTGATGGAACGGCTGACATGTGACTTGACTTTACAACAGTTTGAGTGATGTGGCTGTAATAAAGGTAGGATCCCCTGTCATTCAGGACAATTCTAAGTGCCTCAGCAAATCTTTTATCCTGCCAAGCAATTAAAGCAGCTTGTTTAGAATGGATTCTGACTTGGCTAGATTCCATTGGATGTCTCCACGATGTGGACATTTCATTTCAGCCCTGATACTGCAACTGCTACTTTGCTTGCTGCTGCTAAAGAGCAATTTCAGTAATCTATACAGAGTTATAAGGAGAACTTGATCAGTGGCAAAGGTTGGATGGAGGAGAGGAACAAGACCTAGACATCAAACTTTTTCCTGCTAGGCACCTAAGTCCTCTGTCCGCCTGAGAAATGTTTCTAAACTTATCAAAAGCTCTTTTAAGCTTCTTTCTATATTCTTACACCTGAAGAGGATCTTCTCCCTCACTGCACTTTGATTGTTGCTTCAGTCACACACTGATGGCAATTTGCACTGTATGCAATCCTAGGTAAATTTATCATGGTGGTGTTCCACAAATAGATACAAACAGATAATGGGAAAGGATTTACCCCAGCAAAATATTTGTCAAAATAATAACTAAATACAAAAAAAATAAATACAGAAGGTCATTTACCCTTGCTAGATTCAACGTGCTGCCATCTGCCTTATTGCAGGGCAGATTCGAGGGTAAACCATATGCGGAACGAGTCTGTCCCTGCAGCTTGATGGAGGTAGAAACTGTCTCTCATGCCTTTTTACGCTGCTGTTTCTATGGGGATATACACCCAGTATTTATTACCCCTGCTATGCAAAAATCTCCAAAAGAATCTGAACTTCAATGTCTAAAATCCCTGGTAGAGGGCAAGGATCCTGAGATCACTTTAAGGGTAGTCAGATTCTGTGCAATTGCCATAAAACTTAGGGAACAAGCGGTGCTATCATAATGATTAAGGCCTAAAAATAATAATTTTAGGTTATATTTTAGTGACTAAGTTTTAATTTATATATTTTTTAACTGTTGCTATATCTGTATTGTCCCTGTTATACCTAATTGCGAATTCAAATGTATCCCTATCATGTTTTATGACTTCCTTGTTATTCTATGTGGGCTGAAACTGGTCTGTGACCGAAATAATAAATTCATTCGTAGGTATTTGTAGAACAGCACCATGGTAAATTTATTTTGCATACAGTGCTAGTCCTAAGAACACAAGAAAAGACTGCTGGATCAGACCAAAGGCTCTCCTAATCCATATTCTTGTTCTCGCAGTGGCGAACCAAATTCCTGCGGGAAATCTGCAAGTAGGATTTGAGACATTACTGCCTCTAGGCATTGAGGCGCTGGACAGCCATTGCAAATTTGTCTGCTCTTTTTAAAGCCTTCCAAGCTGGTGGCCATCATTACCTCCTGGGGGAACAAGAGTAGTCCTACTGAAATTAATGAACACGACTAATTTAGATCTGTTGCTTTCAATGGAAACTTAGTTGGATGCAACCTTTTCAGAATTTTCCTAAGGCAAAAAAATCAGATTGGATTCACTCAATGGTAGAGCATCTGTTTTGCATGCAGAAGACCCAAGGTTCAATGCCTGGCATCTTCTGATAGGGTTGGGGAAGATGCTTGCCTTTTCCAGTCAATGTAGGCAATAATAAGCTATGTAGGCCAATGGTTTGACTCAGTATACAGCAGCTTCCTGTGTTCCTAAATGTTGCTTTAAGGTGGAAATGTTGTGGAAAAACTAGAGAAAGCAGCTTCTTGACTTCCTTCTCAGCATGGAAGCAAATGGGGATGAGGCTTGGGGGAGGCATGAGAGAAGCAGAGTGGTTTTAAATGGTTATCCCATACCACGCAAAGCATGCAGTACAACAATATCAATTATTCACTGCATAGACTACCGAGCATAAATATTTCAACCCATGTCAACAACTGTACGACAAGAGAAGAAAAAGACAAATGCTTAAATTTCCATTTTAGGAAATCAGATGTGACAAGCTAGATACTAAAAGCAAATCAGATTCTGTGCATCCATTAGCACAAGGATTCAAAAGCACAGGCATTGTGAGCGAAACCCACTGAAGCGTTAGATATCCAGAGTAGAAAATACCCATTGGCATTTGCTTGCATTGCTCAGTTTCTATCATGGGGCTTGCATACTCAACTTTCAACATCAAATGAACTAAGGAAGAAAGGAGATTCGAGAAAGGAGATTCTGAATAAACATAAGGAAGAACTTTCTGGCTGTAAGAGCTGTTGGACAATGTTAGAAGGTGGTGGACTCCCCTTCATTTGAGGTCTTTAAGCAGAGATTGGATCTCAGTTAGGGATTCTTTAGCTGTGAACTCTGCATTGCAGGCGGTTGGACAATCTGACCCTTCCAGCTCTATAATTCTAGGATTAGCCATGATGTAATATGCTTTAATATGTAAAATGGGATGCGGGTGGCGCTGTGGGTTAAACCACAGAGCCTAGGACTTGCCGATCAGAAGATTGGCAGTTCGAATCCCCGCGATGGTGTGAGCTCCCGTTGCTGGGTCCCAGCTCCTGCCAACCTAGCAGTTCAAAAGCACGTCAAAGTGCAAGTAGATAAATAGGTACTGCTCCAGCGGGAAGGTAAACACTGTTTCTGTGCGCTGCTCTGGTTCGCCAGAAGCGGCTTAGTCATGCTGGCCACATGACCTGGAAGCTGTACGCTGGCTCCCTCGGCCAATAAAGCGAGATGAGCGCCGCAACCCCAGAGTTGGCCACGACTGGACCTAATGGTCAGGGGTCCCTTTACCTTTTTAATATGCTTTAACTAGTGTTTCAAACACAGAGCTAGGACATTGCAGGGGGTTTGACTGCATGACCCTTGGGTCTCTTCCAACTCTGACTATATGACAACTGAAAGAGTATCAAGACCCCCACCTCTAATGCTCAAGGTATGTATATATGGGAAGTAGTCATTCTTGTCCAGGGTAGCCAGCCTAGTGCCTTCCAGATGTTGTGGACTATAACACCCATCATCCCTGACCATTGGCCGTGCTAGCTGGGGTGGATGGGAGTTGGAGTCCCTAACATCTGGAGAGAACCATGTTGGCTATTCCCACCCTGTAGTGATAAGACTGTCACATTATACTCCAAGTATCATGATAAGGGTGCTTAAGGGATTGAAGGAGCAATCCAGATCCAAGACTGGCTGCGATAAGGAGGATTTAGAGTAAGCAGATCTTCAGCTCAGCTGGCTGGGGCAAATCTGGGGTAAACCTTGAAAAGCAGCCATTTTGGATTGTGGAGCAGAGGGCAAAATGGGGCAGGGGAAGCTTACCTTTACTCCTGTCTCGTTTCAGCTCATTCATATGACACAGCAATGTAGCGGATGCAACTTTGGTAAAAAGCGTGGTGTAAGTCAAAAACTATTTTTTAAAGGTTTCTTTTTCTCTCTGCCAGGCTTGAGTCAGTTCAGTGGCAGCAGCCCCACTCCTGGAAGTGGTGTGGAATTGGGGTAGGTTACCCTGGCACAATCTGTAGGCATGCAGAGAGCTGGGAGGCTAGCTGGCAAGCCCCAGCTGTGCCGCCTCCATCCATCGGCCCGTGCTCCGACATAAATCAGTGACCCAAACTTCAAAAGCCAGGGCACGCTATTAGCAGAATATACTGCACACACAGAATAGGTGTGAGGCTTGTGAAGTCATACCACAATTACAGATTTATTAAATATAATTCAGGACAAAGAAACATGTCGTCTCTCTCTTGTGTCGTCTCAGAGAGAATGGCTAAAAGCAAAAGCTATACACAAACGGAAGTTCCCAGCATACTGTGCTGGAATGTAAACAGGCATGTGACACACAACAATCCCATGCCTGTTCCTTAAGGTGGAATGGAAATGTTAACACAATCTACCCCAGCTTCCTATAGCTTGAGCAACTCTGCCCATCTTTGTGAATCCTTGTATTAAATGATCTGATCGACACCCCTCAGACTCAAGGTTGTGCAAAGCTGGGAACAGGCCAGATAGGGAATGTAAGCCCCATTTCAGTAATACAGTGGTACCTCAGGTTACATACGCTTCAGGTTACAGACTCCGCTAACCAGAAATAGTACCTCGGGTTAAGAACTTTACTTCAGGATGAGAACAGAAATCACGAGGTGGCAGCACGGCAGCAGCGGGAGGCCCATTAGCTAAAGTGGTACCTCAGGTTAAGAACAGTTTCAGGTTAAGAATGGACCTCCGGAACGAATTAAGTTCTTAACCTGAGGTACCACTGTATACCCAGGAGACACAAAGTAAGCACCCTCAAAATCGTATGCCCATGCACATTGGCCCACCTGGTGCCCACTCTGTTCTACCCTGCTCAGACTTAGAAGTGTGGACTAAAAATTAACCATCCTGGGGATTTCATATTTCTCCAGATGTTGCACCACTGTTCTTGGCACTTGAAATATATTGAAATATCTACTGAATTTTTGAGGGGAAATGCACATTTAAGCATGTGTTTTTAGTGGAAAAATACATATTTAAGCAAGTATTTTGTGGGGGTGGGGAGTGTCTTCAGATTAATGTGGGAAAAGAACGGAGAAGAATTATGGGTAAAATGTGGAAGAGGTATAGATTGGAGAGATGGTATTAATCCATCCATATTTCTAATAGGTGAAAGATACTTTCACCTCCTCTTATTAATACTGAAGCCACTCTTACACCTCCCTATATACGCTGCACCTAATTTTTCTGCAAATCGTCTACTCCTTTTAGAGATGAAATGGATTGCAGGATAAAAGTGAACCGCGAAGGAACAGAAGAACACTCTTGACACATGTATCAAAATATCCACTGAAACTTTAAGAAAAGATACACACTTTTAGAAATGTGCTCTGATGAGTGAGAGAATATATGAAAGTGGCGTTGACTGGCTATAGTCATGGAAATGGCGTTGCCTGGCTATGGTCAGAATTAGTCATCCCTGTACCTCGCAACTTGGCACCCACAGTGTGCCTGCAGGTACATGGATGCCCCTGAGGTCTTCTCCTGTCACCTACGAAGCCTCTGAGTCCCACCCCTTCAATGTCCCCTTGGTCATGAAATGATGAGGGTGGTTACCTTTTTCAGCAGATGTTAAAACAGAAGGTGCCAAAATCTTCCACAAGACTGGACTCGTTACACCAGAGGCTCAGTTTCTTGCTGCTGTCAAATGAACCTCACCAACTTGAGGAACATCCGAAAATACTCCTGAGCCCAACTTGTTTTCATAACCATATGAGTATTTTGTTGTAACCTATCCTGAAACCTTAATGGTGATGGGAGAGTGAGGAATCCTTTAAATAGGACCTCAGCAGCTATGGGGGAGTTGCGGTTAAGCAGATGTTGAGAATGTTCTTTCCAGCACAGTGCAATAGCTTTTTTATCTTTGAGAAGTGTGGTACCGTCTGCTGAGCGTAGAGGGCATATGCCATGATTTATTGACCCATAGATGGTCTTTGTGGCTTTAAAGAAACTCTGTGTATCATGAGTGTTGGCTAAGTGCTGGATCTCTTGAGCTTTTTTTATCCACCAGGTGTTTTTTTAGTTCTCTGGTTCTTCTTTGAACCTCAACCTTAGCATTGGCATAGAGTTTTTTTCTTAGTGGCACAGTTTCTATCTCTTTGCCAGATCTGAAAGGCCTTCCTTTTCTTGTCAATCATGCATTCAATCTCATTGTCATTCTCATCAAACCAGTCCTGGTGTTTCTTGGTCCAGAATTGGCCTTCACAGTCACATACGGACTCATGGTTAAAACCATGTTTATGGAAGACAACCTTACTTGGCTACGAATGATTGCCAAAGAAAAAGAAGAAGAAATAAGGTACCTCTGAGCATGTGCAAAGGGCATTTCTTCCACCATAAGGCAACCAGATCCAACCCTTACACACTAGGCATGAGAGGACAGGAGGCCTTCTAGATCAGTGTTAGCAACTTTTAGCTACTCATTTTTAGAAACTAACCTCCCTAGCCTTTTCTGTCAACTCAATTGTATGCTGCACTGCTTCTACAGGTGCTGAACTGAGAAAAAGCCAAGGTGGGTTTTGTTTTTTTTAAGGCAGAGAAAATTGGAATGAAAGCCCCATATCCCCATCCTTTCATCTTGGCACTGAAGCTATGGTCCAGGGGAGCGTCTTCTGTTTTATGAACTAATTTCCCAGTCTCTAATTTCAACCTCACTGGAAATATCTATATATTTCAACCAGTATTGGAATTGGAGGTGTTCAGCCTGGCATGTTGTCAATACAGGTGTCTCAAACACTATGGATCTGGAGAAATGTTCCGTGTGAGCGCTAGAATTGGCATGCTGCTGGTCCAGAAACCATTACCATGTCAATAGAACGTCTCGGCCGCAGTCATTGATGCTGGGATTCTTGCAATTTCAACTGAGCAACTCCTATTTAAGTTGTCAATGGCAGAGGCAGCTACCTTGTTGATTCTTGTTTCGGTGATTCTGAAGAAAGCCATCAGCAGTGGTACCAATGAATGCATCAGTTAGCAGCTCAAAGATTATTTATTTCAAAGAGAACAATGAGATGCTTTATGGGATGGAAAAGCCACCAAGGATATATATATATATATATATATATATATATATATATATATAC